GACCCGCTGGTCCTACAGAGAGAACATCTTTCAAAAAACAAAAGAAAAAAAGGCAATCATCAAAATTATAATAGATTATGCTTTTGAAATCTACTTTCAGCTCTAGTTAGTCTAAATTCTGTTTTCTCTGCATGGAAAAGGAGAAACATGCTCACTACAACAGCATCTTAAGGCTGTGTTGCCAGTAATGGGATAATCAAGGTCTGCCTTTGCTTCTACTGTAGTAGGAAGTGTCTGTGGGTATTTGAATATGGAATTTGCTCATAGAACTCATGGAACTGAGTTAGTCGTGTGATCTGGGTTGTATTCATGTACAAGCAGGCTGGTCCAATGACATTTTATATGTCAAAGAAATTCCAGCACTAAAATTGTCAAGCACACATAAGTCGGCTCTCCTTTAAATGAACACAAATGACTCAGGACTATCTAGAGTTCAGCTTCTGTTTATGCTCTATCCTCTGCATTCCTATGTTCTTCTGTCCACAGTGACACTTAGAAACTTATTTTCACTTGGAACGGATTCATTAACTTTCATTTCAAATGCATATCTATCTTTTTTATTATTATTATCATTATTTTTTTAGTTCAGCTGGCCTGGAACTCATTATTTAGACCAGGCTGGCCTCTGTCTCACAGAGATCTGTCTGGGTCCATTTCCCCAGTGCTTGGAATAAAGGCCTATGTCATCAAACCCGGTGCATATGTTTTCCAATATAAGGTCATTTTAAGTAAAACAATGTGAATAACAAGCATTTTAATATATAAATCTGTTGCAATAATTAATAAACTTTATGAAATTGCAGAACTGAACTGAATTTACTGTGCTAATACTGAGTAACTAGAGAAAGTTTTATCTTTCTAATATTTTATTTATTATTTTTATTTTATGAGTATGAGTGTATTGCTGCATGTGTGAAAGAACATCCATATCGTGAAATGTCTGCAAAGGTCAGAAGAAGGTGCTCAATCCTCTGGAACTGGAGTTACAAACAGTTGTTAGCATTCATGCGGGTGCTGGGGTCTTCAGCAAGAACAGTCAGTGCTCTTAGCCATTGAACCATCTATCCATCCCCAGAAAGAATTATCATAAAAGCATAGCTACCTCACTTCCAGTGTTCACACATTCAATACACAATGGTGCCATTTTATTTTTCTGAGTAAAGAATAAATGCTTGTTTAAGTAAATATTCACATTAATTATACTTCATGTTAAGTTTTATAAGTATAATTACTTGATATGCTTGTGTTTATGTATGTTTGTATGTGTGTGTGTCTGTGTGTGTCTGTGTGTGTGTGTGTATATATGTGTGTCTGTGTGAGTGGTTTGTGCATGTGTTTGAACATAACAGAAGTACTGGTGCCCATGTACATACTTGAAGAACCCAGAGGAGGGCACTGAATACCCTCATCTATCCCCCCTGCCTTATTTCCTTGGCAAAAATCCTGTGACTTAACTATGAACTGGCAGTTTTTTTTTAACTGTACAAGATTAGCTGTACAGTTAGCGCCTGGACTTTGCCTGTCTCCACTTCCACAGCAATGAATTAAAGATGCCCTATCATGATTGGCTTTGGACATGGGTAGTCAAGATCCAAAAAGGTCTTTATGCTTACACAACAAGTGCTTTTACCCACTGAGCCAATTACTCAGTCCTGTAAATATAATTAGTTAATATTTATCAGAAACTACTGTAAATCTTTTCCACATTTTCCTGATGGCATTTACCATTTCCTTATTCCTGAAAGTGTAAACCATAGGATTAAACAATGGTGTCATGACATCTGTAAATACAAACACATATTTCTCAAAAGAAAGTGCAGTTGTAGGTCGTGCATATATTAATAAACATGGAACAAAGAAAAAAACCACAACAGTAATGTGGGATCCACAGGTGGAGAGAGCTTTACGCCGCCCTGCAGAGCTGCATTCTCTCAGAGAGAACAAAATGACACCATAGGAGACAAGCAGCAAGGAGAAGATGATGATGCAGATGGACCCACTGTTGGCAAACACCAAAAAGACAAACATGTGTGTGTCAGTGCAGGCAAGCTTCAGTAATGGGAACAAGTCACATATGAAATGATCAATGACATTGGGTCCACAGAAAGGCAGAGGCAAAGTGAAGATAATCTGTATGATAGAGTGCAAATAGCCTCCTATCCATGCTACCCCAAGCAGGGCACCACAGAGCCTCCTATTCATGATGGAAGAGTAGTGCAAGGGTTTGCAAATGGCTACATAGCGGTCATAGGCCATGGTTGCCAAGATAATCACTTCCACCGCAGTAAGGAAATGGACAGCAAAGACCTGTGTTATACAACATTCAAAGGAGATGGTCTTCTTCTCGTAGAAGAAGTCTGCAATCATCTTGGGTGTGACAACAGAAGAAACACATGCATCCAGGAAAGACAGGAATGCCAAGAAGAAGTACATGGGGGAGCCCATCAGTGCAGGGCTATGGACGATGGTCACCACAATCATCATGTTGCCCCCAATAGTAGCAAGGTAGACCAACAAAAATACAACAAATAATATTTTCTCAACTTTTGGGTTCTGTGAAAGCCCCAGGAGTATGAACTCAGTAACAAAACTCTGGTTCTTCATTATTATTGAGAATATGATGAAAGTAATATATTTATTTAAATCTGCAATTGCAAAAATATTTTATTACACAAACTGATAACACAACCATGAAAATGTTAGTGCATTCTTATGGAAAATTACCTCCATTCAATTTTGTTAAATTATAAATGTTTAAAGGGTATGGGTGGGTATCCCATCACATAGAATTTAGGTGGAGACAAATTTTTGAAAACCTTAAAATAGCCACATTTTGAGTTTTGTGTTAGAGAAGAGAAATAGTGTAACATTGAACTGTCAGGTTTCATCAATCCATAGGAGATTCTTGAATTGAAATATTTAAAGGCTAGTTGAAACTATATATATGTGGTCTTATGAAAAACCACAATAGATGAACATGCCTGTCATCTATATGGAATAAGGCATGGCTTGTTAGCCTGTAGTGAATGATCAGAACACCACTTTATTAACCAATGTAAAAAGAGGCAAAATATGCTTTAGTTTCACTTGAAAATCCTTGGTACATTTTAACTTTTATTTCAAAGTATGAAGTGGTTTGGAGCTTCAATGAATTAACTTATTCTTTATAAACAGAAATCTCAGTGGGAAATTGTCTAGAACTACACATGACACAAAAGTTGAAACTTGAAGCTTCATGTGTAATTCATCATATTAATAAGTGATAAAAATTTTACAAATTTATACTGTTGTCATGATGATTAAATGAAGTTGTCCAAAATAATTCAATTGCTTAGTACTCAATTTGCCAATCGATATTTTGTTGCAGGTGGTATTGTTGCTATTTTATTGATGCATGCATTTTAATTTAGGTCTCAATTCAATGAAATAAAAAATATTTGACATGTGATTTCAAAAGAATCTGGCTGGTTCCAACACCCATGACCTCTCCTCAGGATCAAGAGACTGTTGAATGAGTCTGTTTTTATTAGTGAAAACTTAAATGTAAGAGTAATCTTTGTATATTCTCTTCTTGTCTATAATGGCACAGCCTTATTTGTTCCCTTGTGAAGGGAACAGAGTAAATGATGACAAATCAGGTGATGGGTCAATCACTTACAAATGCAAATTGGTGAAAACCACAAAGCTAAAGAGAAACAAGTGTTTGAATATAGAGTTTTGTGACTTATTTGCCAATTATTTATACATCACACCCTTGCTGGAGGAAATAATTCACAAGACATATGGTTTGATATTTATCTGAATATACTATAAGATTTTTTCAAACAGTACACTTTGCTCATCACCAAGGATTGTGAGGAGAGTCAAATTAAAACTGCCCCAATGTTACTGATGTTAAGTGCCCTTAAAATTCTACTGGAATTCATTCATATGAAGACTCAGCTGCATTACCCATTGAAAGCTTTCCCCGAAATCCTCTAAGTAATAATTCTAACTCTCTACTTCATAGTCCCCAGTGGTGAGAATTTCAAAAACTGTTTGAATATATTTGCATGTGAATATGTGTACACATATGTGTGTGTGCATATATACGTGATGTTTCAAGTCTGTTATTAAAATATTTTGTACTGTGAAAGAAAAGCATGATGTTTTTACAGACTTCCTCTTAGAGGGAACAAGCATAATTTTTCATGTTAATATAGCTATCATATGAAGTTGCATACATAAACTTTATTTAATTAATTATTTATTTATTATTTATTCGAGACACGGTCCCCCTATAGCCCCAGCTGTCTTGGAGCTCACTATGTAGACCAGGCTGGTCTTGAACTTACAAATATTTGCCTGCCTCTGCCTTCCGAGTGCTGGGACTAAAGTTGTGTGCCACCATATGTGCTGAATACATAAACTTTAAAATAACCATTTTGTGATATTCTATGGTTATTTCCTCACTAGTATCTGTAATGTGAGCTCTGTATCCACTCACAGGAAACAGCATATAAATGAACAGCATATAAATCAAACCCCAAAGGTCACGGGATCAAACAGGAATAATTTGTCATACACTAAGAAGATCATGATACGACGTACCAGCAGTTATTCAGTGCTAAAGCTGGGTAGACAAAGAACATGAATAAATACCATTGCAGTACTTGATACACATGCATGAAAATATGACAAAACTTATCATTCCTCAGAATGAAGATTCATGGAAATAAATGTAAAACTACTCTAGCTCTTGACATTTGCACTCTTATTCAGCCCCTTACCTTGTTCTGTGGCATATGTCTGACTGCATAGTCCTCCTAAGACTCTATGATCATTGAGTCCCACTTGTTCACGTGATTTGAACTTGAAAGCTGTCTTGTGAAAATCACACAAAAATTGTGATGGGATCAGAAATTCAGGGAGAGATGATGACTGTGAAGATCAAGTTGTCCCAGACAATGACAGAGAGAAAGGATGATTTTAGATCATTCTGGCTTTTGCATACCCAAAGCTGGTAAGTATTCTTCTTCATATTTTATAAAATATTTTATTTCATGCATTGCAGTAAGAGATGATGTTTTCAGAGCACATTATTTTCCATTGTTTTTCATAATTTAAACAATGGTTTAGTGTTAAGGTCCTCATATCTACTCACAGGCACTCCTGTTTCAGATATGTTCTTGAACAAAGAACCAAACTGAGCAGTAAATTCCCAGGAAAACAAGGCCATCTGTGAACCTAAAGATTAAGTGAATCCTACTTTGTCTCTTGTATTCCACTTAAAATGCTCATTCATTCAAAACAGTGTCATCATATTCCAGTAAAGCAATTTCATAAATTTGTGTTAAAACATCCAAAATGGAGGTATAATGTAGTCATAGACTATGATCACATGGGTTCTGGCTTGTATCATTTAGAATATAATTTACCTACATACAGTGTGTAGTCTAAATTCAATCCGGAAACAAGAAAAGAAGTACAGTTGAAAATTAAGCCAAGTACGTTGGTTATTTGGTTAACTAGCATATCCTTGTTTATTGGATAGTCTTACCAAACATACTCATCGGCAAATAGTGTGGCAGTGTCAATTGAAACCAGATGAGTGATATCCTGGACCCATCTTTCATATCTTAGTTGTGTTGACCTAAGGTTGGGCTACATAAAATGTTAAGTAGAAAATAAAATTTGCTCACATTCTGCTGTGGGAGGAGTCTAGAAGTACTTAGAGAGCTGGCTATGATTGCGATATATTGTATAGGTATATGTATATGAAGTTCTCAAATAATAAATTAAATTATATTTAAGGGGCTGGAGAGATGGCTCAGAGGTTAAGAGCACTGACTGCTCTTGCGGAGGACCTGGGTTCAATTCCCAGCACCCACATGGTGGCTAAGAACCATCCTTAACTCCAGTTCCCAGGAAATCCGAAGCCCTCTTCTGACCTCTGCAGGGCACTGCATGACACGGGTGCACTCACATACACACAGACAATACACTCTTACACATAAAATAAAAATAATAAATAATTTTTTTTTTTGGTCTTTTTGAGACAGTCTCCCTGTAGCCCCAGCTGTCCTGGAACTCACTATGTAGATGAGGCTGGCCTTGAACTCACAGAGATCTGCCTGCTTCTGCCTCCTGAGTGCTGGGAGTAAAGGAATCTGCCACCAGGCCCAGCATAAATAAAATATTTTTAAAAATAGGTGACAAAACAGCCACGTGCCATGAATAAATTAAAACATTACAAGCTTTTTGGTTTATTCAATACACATAGGTAATTATTTTATTGGAGAGTTGACAAGGTCTGATGAAGCTCAGGCTCATCTCACACTCACCATGTAGCCTAGAATGCCTTTGATCTGCTGGCCCTCCTGTGTCCACTTCCAACAGCTGGGACTGCCATCTGGTATCACCGTTATCAGATAAATCAATAGTTTTAATCAACGGAATCCTCAATCACTAAATCAAAAAGAACTTGTGAATGGTGTCAGTATTATTTTAAACTTTGCCTTCAGTCTAAATGGACATGAAATATTTAGTCAAAAGAAAAATGTCTTTTTATAATCCCATTTAGCAAATTATACTAAATACAATAAAATTGCTTCTTTCATTCAATAATTTTACAAAACATATTAGAAAATAATTCCAGAATCCCAAGCTGGTTTATATTTTTGAAATAGTACTTCAGCCCAAATTTTTTTTTATAAAAACATAAAGAGATGGGGAAATTTTACAATGGAATGTAATCCATTGTAGAGAATATTGAGAAGAAATAAGTAAAAGATTCATATTGGGGTGTTTGGGAATATAACAGCATTATAAATTATTAACATGTAATACTATAAATAAAGCATTAATGACAGGAAGACATCAAGGATGAAGCAATTCAATTGTATGAGAAGTGAGAAAATTAGAGAAAAATCCAATATCCATAGATAGATATTATATATTCTATAATCTAGAAGGGAACATTTAAGATAATAGGTTTCATTTGTACTGAATATCTTATTATCAAAAAATGTAAAACTGAAATCAAAATCAAACCTCTCAGTCAATTTGCTATGACATTTCAGAAAAAGGATGTAAGGTTTGTAAATTATTCATCAGATTAGCCAAAGTGCAACTAATCACAACATAGCACAGAATCCTACATTGAAATTTTTCAGAAGTATCTTTCTTGAGCAGCCAAGCTATGGATTCAACCTTCCCACTTGTAATGCTCTTTGATTACTAATTCATATTGTCATATAGAGACAGATTCATTTTCTCTGTATTTTTCTTGAGACATTCCATGTCCTTCTGTTCTCTAACAGTCATTCACTTGAAAATTGTGGATCTGTCACTCTGGACTTTCTCCGGGGTTACTTAGAGCAGGAGCTGTGGTCGCTGTTCCATTTCCTGGATCAGTGACCTTGGGCAGTAGGCCAATCTATCATCCCTGGTGCCCACTATTTCTTTCCTATGCATTTTAACAGCAAAATTATAATAAATTGACAGCTATAATTAATTATAGTACCAGATTATGCAGAGATAACATAAATTTTGTTAACTGTGAAGTGCAAGTAACATTAAAAACTATCAAAGAGGGGCTAGAGAGCTTGCTCAGTGGTTAAGAA